TTTACCTTTTGAAAAGGTACAGCCCCAGTGACAGCTTTTGTACCTTTTTTTCTGAGAGCGTGTCTGACTGTTAAATAAAAAATAAAAAATAAAAAAAAGCCTCATCCTCATGTAATTCTAAACCCGTTTGATTCAGCCCATTCTCATCCCAAGGCGTCATCTAACTGACGCTTTTGACCATGCGTCAACATAAAGCGTCAGATTTTGAAGCATGCAAAGTGTCACTTAGATGATGCCTTGGGATGAGAATGCGTTGTTTGATTTAATTCTTATGAGGAACACAAAAGAAAATATTTTAAAGGAGCTGTAAGATTGTGGCCAACATTGGTACTGCAATCAATTTCAAATTAGGGTGTATCCCCGCCTTCCCCCATGCATGACTCGAGGTTGCCAGATATGCTGCAGGTTCCAGTAGGAATGTAGGCTGCTACAAGAAACTTCCAAAGGCAAGTGATGAGTCCAGCACAGTGCGTTTTTTTTTCTGTTCGGACTTTGTAACAATGTATTTCGGATTCATTTCGAGTTTTTGGGGGTTTCGTAGAATTTTTTTATCCGATTCCGACACGTTTGTATCTACAGCTGTGGTATCTAAAGAAAAGCTGGCAACCCGAATGCCGCAACAATACCGAGTCCGTGATTGCTAGATCGGTGGAGGGTGCAAAACACAAAATGACAACATCAACATCAGTTGAGGGCTGCAACTTCACTTTTTACTGTTGTCAGTGATATAAGTATTTGAAATGAACATGATTTCTTAATGTCTAGTGACATATCAGGGAAAATGTGATTCATTGAAATTTCTTGCATACAGCTCCTTTACAGGATGTTTCAACTGTTTTTGCCCATGAACAACATCGGACCCCATTGACTTTCATTATACGGACAAAAAAAAAAAAAAAACAGAAACATTCCTGAAAATATAATCTTTTGTAATCTGCAAAATAAAGTCATAAGGGTTTGGAAGGAAAAATCTGGGTTCTTGTGCACGATTCATTGACGTATGCTATTCCAATAAATAACTACAATACAAACAAGCTAACCAACATACACACAATGATAAAAACATACGTACATAAGAGGGTTAAGCACATTCACTTTATGTCTTTGAAAGGCTCTTTAGTCTTCATTCTCACAGCTGTCATTCATATTCATATGAATAAATGAACCTTTATCTGGGAGTTTCTTCAGAACAAAAACATTGTTAATATAGTGATTTACTGGAGAGTTTAATTAATCTCAGGTATGTACTTGCAACAACTGTTTCATCTGTGCATCACAAAGACTAAAATGCTTGTAAGCAGCATACTTCAATGCTCAAGATTTGACTTTGTACATTAAATATATATATATATATATATATATATATATATATATATATATATATATATATATATATATATATATATATATGAAGAGTTCAGATGCAAAAGCCTCTAAGTGCCATTTGAAATTTTCTTCTAGAATGATCATTTTTATCAGACTTGTATATTTAAGTTCAGTGATTTCACTTAAATGGCAATGATAATTACCTATTAATTGTTATTTAAGTGAAATTACTCAACTTTTATTTTTTACAAGTTTGATAAAAATCATCATTAAAGAATAAAATTTCAAATGGCATTTAGAGGCTTTTGCATCTGAACTCTTCATATATATATATCACGATTTGTCTTTGTATATTAAATATATATTTAATTTAAATAATTAAAATTAAGTATCAATTCTTAAAATCACACAAAAAAATTACTTCTTCCAGGTTTTGCACACCTGAGAATAAAATAAAATATATTTTAATAGTTAAACAACTTAAAAAAAAAACAGAAAGGAACAGTCATTCCTTTCTTTTTCCAAGGATAAAAACGAAAGACTACAAATGCCCTTCTTTCACACATCTGAAAAATGTAGTACAAAGGTAACTAGTTCTTTACAACAACAAAAAATCTCTAAGAGTCCTTAATCCCACATAACAGTCCTCATTCAGTGGCTCTATTGTCGAGCGAAGCCCTCAAGCCATGCAGAAAGAAGGATTGCACACAATTTCCCATGACATCTCCAAAAGCAAACAACCTTTTGTTGTTCTGTACATTTCACGGATGCTCAAAAAGATGGGGCCATAAAATGTTCAAACGCACTGGATCAACAAATAAACAGAGCTTCCACGACAAATAACAGCTTAAAAAACTATTCTGCGCAGAGATGAGGGCGACAAAGAAAATCGCTATAAATGATATACATACGGACTGTAACACAGTCACTTTGGTGGGCTGAATGTTATATGATATACATTTTTCAATTGTGAAATAATTACTAAGTGCAATCTAGTGTTGTCGATACATCGATACAATAAAACAGTACAATGGGTCCATGAGTAAGGTCTTAAAGTGACAGCAGCCTAATATACCGGCTGCCAAATTATGAGATACTATTAAAGATATCTATATGGTATTATTCGGACTCCTCCATGTTTATCAGAGTCCAAATTGTGGCCAGTGAAGCCACAGAACCTTGAGACGGATGGGCTACAACATCAGAAGACCCCACCGGGTACCACTCATCTCCGCTACAAATAGGAAAAAGAGGCGACAATTAGCAAGAGCTCACCAAAATTGGACAGTTGAAGACTGGAAAAATGTGGCCTGGTCTGATGAGTCTCGATTTCTGTTTAGTAGAGTCGTAAACAGAATGAGAACATGGATCCATCATGCCTTGTTCCCACTGTGCAGGCTGGTGGTGGTGGTGTAATGGTGTGTTTTCTTGGCACACTTTAGGCCCCTTAGTGCCAATTGGGCATCGTTTAAATGCCACGGCCTACCTGAGCATTGTTTCTGACCATGTCCATCCCTTTATGGCCACCATGTCCCCATTCTCTGATGGATACTTCCAGCAGGATAATGCACCATGTCACAAAGCTCGAATCGTTTCTTGAACATGTCAATGAGTTGACTGTACTAAAATGGCCGCCACAGTCACCAGATCTCAACCCAATAGAGCATCTTTGGGATGTGGAGGAACGGGAGCTTCATCCCACAAATCTCCATCAACTGCAAGATGCGATCCTATCAATATGGGCCAACATTTCTAAAGAATGCTTTCAGCACCTTGTTGAATCAACACCACGTAGAATTAAGGCAGTTAGGGGGTCAAACACAGTATTAGTATGCTGTTCCTAATAATCCTTTAGGTGAGTGTATATGTAAGCAATAAGGTACGAGAGGCTGTGCTGTATTGTGAATAAGTAACGGCTGAAGGGTGTTGTTAGGCACGACGCGAAGCGGAGTGATATATAGAACTGTTGGGTGAAGCTGTCATTTTATCATGAATAAAGCACAGCTATTGACCAATCAGAATCAAGGATTGGAAGTTACCATTTTATAAATATAGCTCATATTGTGACTAATGCCAATACAATGTCTCTTCGTAACTTGAATAAAAAGAAGTGTCACAAACTACTGTCACATGCACAACCTGCTCAATGTCAAGTACATGATTACTCGGCTATTCTAATGTTTAGTTGTAGCCCGCGGATAAAGACGTGCAAATGACTAGTCAATGGAAGTACAAAGCAGAACAAACCCTATTCTATGGCTTCTTCAGAGCAGTCATGTCAGCTTTATTTATATAGTACTTCAATCTCAAAGCAGCTTCACAGTCCCAACTGAAGCAAACACTGATCTCCATAATGGTGACTTAAAATTGTGATTTTTCACCTTCAGTGATTACTTTTTTTTTTAAAGTGGCACCAGTTACAATGGAATCACAATTACAGGCAACAATGTATCACACATTTGAGACACGGTTGTCATGACAATGGCAGAGTTTGCAATTGCGATAAACAGGATAATAACAGTGGTAATGTTGTAAGATTGATCAATGAGGAAACTATGGATTGAAAAGAGTAACACATAGTTTAAGAGACTTTATATATAAAGACTAAAATTTCGCTGCCAATTTAAGAAATAAAGCAGCTTTGGGAACAGGGCTTTTCTATTCTTCAGAAATTCAACATGAACAGTCGGCATGAAGGTAAACAAATAATGACATACGTTTCATTTTTTTTGGCTGAACGCGTGTTCTTTTATTCCACGTGTAAACAAAAGCAACAAGTCTCTCCGACGCACTGCAGGTGAGTGTGACTGGACACTGCACACTTTTTTCACAACTAGTTTATAAATTGCCTTTGGGACGAAATGTCAGACGGATCATTCTTTCCAATTGAAAAAGGTCCACAGTAGGAGCAAAGCAATAATGAAACTATTTTGACAAAAGCAGGAAAGCGATTGGCTCCGTACTAAATCTGACACGCCGTGATTGTTCTGCCACGACACCAATGTTTCTGTCCAGGTTGGGAGGTCTTGTGAGGTCAGTGGAGGTCGTGCAGTATATCTCTCAGATGCTTCACTTTTTAGGACGCGACCAAATAGGAAGGAGAGATTGGTGAGTCGAGCCAAACTACATTAGCCCAGCGAGATCAGACGTGATATTGAGCTTTGGAAAAACAAATCTTGTTAGACGTTGTAAACTGCCGTCAAACTGAATCAGGGAGGCCATGCTGAGAGCGGCATTCCCACAATGCAATTAGACTCTCGCCACTTCATCACGCCGCACACCTGATGTTCCCCAAGCTCTCTGCGACTGATCTATATATTAACGGTGAGCCCAGCTGTCTGAGAGGAGCCGTCTGATGTCAGATTACATATGCGTTTCATGGAAATGACAGTTTTTCCCTTCCAGGTACCAATCGCAGCTGACAGCTTTATCAACACGAGAAGCCATTGGGAACAAGTAAGTCAGTGTCTTCTGACTGGAGATATCACCCTGAGAAAATCGACAGCACACATGCAATACTGATGATTTTTGTGTGCGGAACAACATATCTCATTTCCGCTGCCTTTCAAACGCTGATGCGATCAAAGCGAAGCGCGTCTCGGGCGAGCGTGATTTCTGATTAGATTGATGAGACTTCTCAATGTACAAAAGATAGAGGCGTCATGTTATCTCACCTGGCCAGGCTTGGCATCCTCGCAGATTGAAGCCTCGTAAGGGGTGGCGAGTTCGGGAGGGTTGTCGTTGACGTCCAGGATTCGGATGCTCACCGCCGACTGAGACGACATGGACTGGTTATCTGAGGGAGACAGAGATGAAACAATCATCATGATGGACGAGAGGTCACATGCAAAATGATATTAGTGTAGGTCAACTAATGACGTCAAGGTCTGGAAACACACACGGAAGTGTTACTAGTATCTCGTGGAGTTTGTTTATGTGTTGTTTCTATATAAAAATGTTGATACGATGTAACGTATTTGCTCTGATTCTTGTTTTAAATTATTTTGTTTTATTATTATGCTTGTTGTTGTCAGCTGTCGTTGTTGTACAAGCAAAATGTGACGGTTGGTCGGTGTGGTGTTTGTCCCGCCCCTCTTCTACTGTGATTGGATGGCTGGGTAAGAAGTGACAGGTTCACCCAAAGATGAACATTGTTCAACTCTCTGCGACTGGTGAAAAACACAGAGCGCTCAGTGTGAAACAGACGCAAAGTGCCTCGTTTACACTTGGTAAATGCTCATGTTGTTTTAAAAATGCGATGCTCCCATTGAAAACAATTGGAGAAATACACCAGCCGTGTGAAAATAATGCTTTGGTGGACACAGGGCATATAAGTCACTTTAGATAAAGCCATCTGCCAAATGCACCCCCCCCCCCACACACACACACACAGTTTATTTGGCTCCAGACTCAAGAATGTTAAAGTGCTAAAATATGAGTGTTAATTTAACACTCAAGAGTGATAAAGTTAATGAGCTAATTATGTGGTAAATTGAATGATGATTGACCATCATTGAAGTCACCTGAAGTCAACAAGCAGAATCACTGACGGAGAAAATCTTATTTTCGAAGTCACCATTATGGTGATCATTGTTTACTTTAGTTGGCCTCTTGACCCTTAAACTATTAACATTAGAATTAGTTTGGCTGTTGTAACTGTATTAATAGAAAAGGTGATCAGGTGGTGTTGGTTATGGTTTGACATAATCATTGTTTGACCAGAATAACAAAACTAATTTAGAGCATTCGGTCCAATAAAATTAGTTCTGATCAAAAGAGTTACAAAAATATACTTATAATATAATATATGAATAAATTATAATCTGAATTGCCTTTTCCTAATTGAATATTCTGTTTGTCACCATTGTTGAGATTCATACATTGATTCTTGATGTCTGTGAGTGCCTAAAAGAAAGATTTTTTTATTTTTATCAGAACAACTTTTAAGAAAGCCTTTTAATTGTTTCAAAAATTCTGGATCTTACACTGTAGAATCACTGTGATGCTGTAATCAACAATATACATTTAAGTCAGAGATTCGGTTCTAAATTAGTTCAGAGATTCAGGTCAACTGATGATTTTGGTGTCTGATGACACCATCAGGTCATCTTTTCTCTTTGTTCATCTGGCCAACAACAAAAATCTAAAGTAGGAAATGTAAGGGTTAACTGCCCAACTGAAGCAAACACTGATCTCCATAATGGTGACTTAAAATTGTGATTTTTCACCTTCAGTGATTACTTTTTTTTTAAAGTGGCACCAGTTACAATGGAATCACAATTACAGGCAACAATGTATCACACATTTGAGACACGGTTGTCATGACAATGGCAGAGTTTGCGATGGCCACATCTGTGAGATCCAGAACAAAGCAAACCCACCACTGCTCTCAAATTAACACACAGATTCTGTTATTGTGTCCCTGCAAATAATAAGTAAAGCACTTGAGTCCACTGAAACTGTATTTTGCATGCATATTTTACAGGACAGTAAAACTGAAATCATCCTCTGCGAGTCACTGACCTGCACAACACACAGGGTGCACTTTATTAAGTCTGTAACACCGCCGAATATAAAACAGAAGCATTGAAGTATGTCACACTACTGGACTGCCATCACAGTTTGTGTCTGAGTCACTTCTACAGTAATGATATTCTGCCAGCAGGGAATTCATCAGGAATCGAATTCTTCTACATTTTTGAGAAAATTTTCAATTAGCAAGTCAATTTCTAAGAGATGAACCACATCATAGAAGATTTTAATGATAAGAGCACACCGTTTGGGTCTGGCATAATCATATAAACACAGATAAATGAATTCAATATTGGGCTGCAATATCATTTTGATCATGGCCTTATTAAGCTACAAAAATATTATTGGGAAATGTGTACATAATTAGTTCGTATAAGTAAAATGATTAAGTAATTTAAAAAGCTCTCTGTGTTGGGTGTGACTGATCCTTAGCTAAATTCTGCACTTCATTATTTCATTAGAAATGTTTTAATTTTCATAAGAGATGCTTCTCGCCAGCACAGCAGGCCATGGTTTTCATTGTTATGAGACATAATTACCTTTTTTAATTAACACAGCAGTAATGCTTGTGTTTATTTGCAGGGATGTACAGTAGTCCACGCATGTTATGTTATTTAGCATATGCAAATTTGGTCTATGCTAATTTAAATATGCTGTTTCATTGCCTTGTTTTTTAAGCCTTGCTCATGCATTATAAAACACAAACCCATTTGTAAAGCAAAAATACATTTCTGGAAGTCAGCAAATTTACCCCAAAATCAAAAGAAAGAAAAGAGAAGCTATTTTATAATAATGATTTTATATATTATATCTAATGCATGAAAAACAAACAATTGAACAAAAAAGCAAACAAACAAAGAAATAATTTTAAATCATGTAAATTGTTAAGTATTCATCATGGTGTAGTATTTAACATATTGCCTGATATTTCAAACCGATCTCACGGGAATTCGTACGAATTTTACGAGGTGGCTAATTCGTAACAATTTGTACGACCTCACTCGTACGAATTAGTACGATTTAGCTAAATCGTACATATTTTACGAATTAGCAAATTCGTATGAATTCGTACGAATGACCTAGCCCTGACCCCGCCCCTAAACATAACCGTCACGTGGGTTTAGACAAATCGTACAAATTTGTACGAGTGAGGTCGTACGAATTAGTACGAATTAGCCACTTTTGAATCACTCGTACGAATTCGTACGAATTGGTCGTGAGATAGGGTAGGATATTTTGCTTATATTTTCAAGTTAAAATAAAAGTGAACGAACAAAGAAAAGAACGAATGAATAAAATAACTATTTCAACTATATGTAAACTGCAAAGCATTCATTCTGGTGGTATTTACTTTATTGCCTGATATTTCGCTGATTTAAAAAAAAGTGAATTTAAAATAAAGTCATTGTAAATCATTTCATTTAAAAATATTTTCGCTTTTTATTCTTTGATAGATTCGGACATTCTTTCAAGAGAGTCACCCAAATACACCAAGAAGACAATGGAAAAAGCGAGGAACAGATTTCCAGTTTTATTCCCCTAAAGCAGGCGGTACGTTCTCTGTGCTTATAGAGCACACATCAGATCTAAATTCATCTACCGATGTGTGTCTACGATATGAAGAGAAGGGATTCAGGCAGATTACAAGATGCAGGTCTTCTGCTACCTGCCCAGCAGATGCTGGACGGCCACATATCTTCATGACATATTACCAGTCAGGTACTATATTAGAAAACAGCCACTTCAATCCTGTTGGAAAGCATGTGGACAGAGGAAATGAAGTCCTGTGGGGTATGGCAGTACAGTCAATCCAACAGGACAGGCGGGGGATCAACTATCTATGTCTCAAGCATGTAGATGCCCCAGCAATAAACACTGATCGTCAGTAACAGCAAATCATAAAGGATGATCTATGACTACAATGCGCTTGACCAATCATGGTTTTGGGAAACAATCGTGACTAACTAGTTGATTTCTTCAACGATGCATCATACTATGGTAGTTAAGCAGCGACTTAACGTCATTGTACGGCAAACACACCCCTGAGCGTTACTGACAGACTGGGAAGAGAGGAGTTGCAACAATGGAGAACAGAAAGCCCAAGTCGAGCCCAAAAACGAAATCAAGACTCTATCTTAATAGATCCTCGTTAGCTTAATAGTGTGGAGGGTTATTGCACATAGATCTAAATACAATATATCAAATACTAAACTGAATGAAAACTATGCATCCTCTTAGTCTTCCATACGTTGAAATGAGATCGAATGCATATTTATTTACTCTTCAGTTACATGTTCAAAATGGCCCTGTGTGAATAAGATCACATTGTCTGCATATTGAGAGAACAACATATTTAAACAATGTCAAAATCTTTTTCATGATTCAAATCCAGTCAAATATTTGTCTCTTAAAAAAAAGAACAAAAGAAAATCAAGAAAAAAGTTCACATTGCCTTTGGTGCATTTCTGACTCATATGAGCTCCAGTGGGAGTGGACTCGCGGCGGGCTCAACCTTCCCTGCGCGCTAGCTGGCACTGCGTTAGTATAACTGACACAGACTGCAGACCTATGGCCTAAATATGAAATTAAACTCGTCTTGTTTTATCAGCTCTCCCGGTTGCACTAACCGTGCCTAATGAGCTTCAAATGTTGAGCAAATTGACAAAACAATATCTCTGTCCTCAACCCACGCCAGAAGACATGAGAAGCACATCCAAGAGCAACAGTTTAGCATGAAAGCAATAAGTGAATATTTTTTACTCCGAATAAGCTTGAGTAATTTAAAATAGTATAAAGTGGGGTAAATTTGACTTGAATTGTAAAAACACTGCTTTATTGTACTGCGTCTTGGCCACACAGACAGAGGATGTCAGACACAATAACATCACTGAGCTCGAGTCATCGCTCTTCAAGAAATGCCTGAATCATGATGTTGAACTTCATCTGACTCCTCAAGAATAAAACAATCCTCGCCAGTACAGCCAGTTTACTTACAAGAGTAGATAGATAGACAGACAGACAGACAGACAGACAGAGAGACATACAGACAGACAGACAGATAGATAGATAGATAGATAGATAGATAGATAGATAGATAGATAGATAGATAGATAGATAGATAGATAGATAGATAGATAGATAGATAGATAGATAGATAGACAGACAGATAGACAGACGGAAAGAAAGACAGACAGACAGACAGCTAAGTAGATAGATAGACTGACAGACAGACAGTAAGACAGACAGACAGCTAAATAGATAGATAGATAGACAGACAGACAGTCAGACAGACAGAAAGACAGACAGACAGACGGACAGATGGACGGACAGAAAGAAAGACAGACAGAAAGACAGACAGACAGACAGCTAGATAGCTAGATAAATAGATAGATAGACAGACAGACTGACAGAGAGACAGACAGACAGCTAAATAGACAGACAGACAGACGGATAGACAGACAGACAGACAGATAGACAGAAAGACAGACAGACAGACAGACAGATAGATAGATAGATAGATAGATAGATAGATAGACAGACAGACAGACAGACAGACAGACAGACAGACAGACAGACAGACAGACAGACAGTCAGACAGAAAGACAGACGGACAGATGGACGGACAGAAAGACAGACAGACAGAAAGACAGACAGACAGCTAGATAGCTAGATAGATAGACAGACAGACAGACAGACAGACAGACGGATAGACAGACAGACAGACAGATAGACAGACAGACAGATAAATAGATAGACAGATAGATAGACAGACAGACAGACAGACGGACAGACAGACGGATAGACAGACAGATAGACAGACAGCTAGATAGCTAGATAGATAGACAGACAGACAGACAGACGGACAGACAGACGGATAGACAGACAGATAGACAGACAGACAGACAGACAGACAGATAAATAGATAGACAGATAGACAGACAGACAGACAGACAGACAGACAGACAGACAGACAGACAGACAGACAGACAGACAGACAGACAGACAGATAGATAGATAGATAGATAGATAGATAGATAGATAGATAGATAGATAGATAGATAGATAGATAGATAGATAGATAGATAGATAGATAGATAGATAGATAGATAGATAGATAGATAGATAGATAGATAGATAGATAGATAGATAGATAGATAGCGGTCTTGTAAAGGGTTAACACAAGTTGCCAAAGGGTGTGCGAAAAATAAACATTTTATTCTCGATGTCAAATGCTGCTCACCAAATCCAACTTTATTGTGTTTATTATTTTCATCATGGACACTTTAAATTCAAGAATCAAAAATCATCGATTACCCTTGTACAATAAACTACACTGATCCGAAGCAAAGCCACGTGAGAAGCCGTGAATCACTGAAGCTGCCGCTGTGTGCTGGCGTGGTGGACGCTGTACTTTAGCATTCTCATTAAAAATGAAGGCACGGTGATTACAGAAGTGTCTTTTCTAGATACAAATAAACCTCTCGGTATTTCCAATGGGCCAATTTTAGAGCAGGAACATTGAAATTGTAACAAATCCAGGGAGAGTGCAGTGCAGTTATTTTTCACTCTCCACACCAAATGTCCTTTCTGTCGAGATAAAGACACAACTGTGTTCATAGTATCTCTTTACCCTAAGGGCAAGACATAATGGTTTTTCCTCTATTTATCACCTGAAAAAGACGAAGAGAGTAAGAGAGAGAGAGAGAGAGAAACCCTGTCTGCAGTTTGATATCTTACACTCGATCAAACGCACAGAAATTATATGTCAGTCTTCTTCAGCTGATAGGATTCTGCAGCGAGCCAGAGCTCTGCCAGACTTTCTGACAGTAAAAAGTGTCGTGCCAAGACTTCAGACCTGATAACTCCCTCCGGACAGAAAAGAAAATTTCATCCCCTCAAGTCAACTTTTCACAGCGCAAGTGATGTGCACGTGTTCTGCTTTAGTAGGACTAAACCGACGGCCTTGGAAAGATTGAAATTGTATTTATTCGCAGCCAACTGAACTGAGGCATATTGAACAGCGCATGACGGAGCTGAAAGGTCTTCCCAGATTTTGTCTGAAATATCATATTTACTAATATCACCACTAGCAATGGCGCATGAAACGCTCTCCACACATCGATCTGCAGACGCAACTCTTCAATGAACACTCATTACGTTCTCGAGTGGAGTGTGAAATTTTAAAATACGAATGTACGGGGGAATTATAAAAAGCATTTCCAAACCGGCCACTCGATGCCTCGTTGCCCACGGACTCTGATTCCATGTGTTTTGCAGTGAACGAGCACAGGCTGGAATTCACTGGGAATTTTGATTAAGCCGTCGACTTCGATAATGGTACTTTTTTGCCTCTATTTAGCAGCAAAACACAGGTATTTGAGTCCGAGATTGGGATCGAAGCATTTTCCATCAACTTTACTGTGACAGATCTTGACAAAACCCCAAGATGTGACAAAACTGACATGTCTTGATAAAAACAAACTGTTCAAAACTACAAAAATGAGATCTGTTAAGAGATCCATCTCCGCTCAGCTAATAGATCTAAATAAAAAAAAATAAAAAAAGATAATGGACGTTTTCAACAAGAAATAGTGGCCTCAAACTGTATTTGGACACTTCCAAATGTATTTGTGCTCAAAAGTGTATTTTTGTGTACATTTGCATTATATTATATAATCTCACTGCATGGTATCTAATGCAATGACATTCAGACCATCTGACAATAAACCATTGCGCAGTTTTTAAAGTTGATTTCTACATCAATCTATCATGCAAAAACATGAACACAATAACTGCTTAGCTACATCCACCAATCTAGCTTTGTTATCTCAGATTTATCTTTATAAGACACTGTTAGCATCCCAGAGTGCTTTGCTAATGTTTCCATTACACTCTAAAAAATGCTGGGTTATTCAACCCAAATTTGGGTCAAATATGGACAAACCCAAATTTTGGGTTAAAAATGTCATTTAAACATTTAACCCAATGGCTGAGTTTGTCCATATTTGAACCAGAGATGGGTTAAAACAACCCAGCATTTTTTAGAGTGTATGCTATGAAAATGTGATTTCTGAATGTTCAAAAATGTTTTGAAAACTATTTTTTTTTTTTTTCTTGGTTATGCGAACTTTAAAGGGATAGTACACTCTAAAAAATGCTGGGTTATTTCAACCCAAATTTGGGTCAAATATTGACAAACCCAAATGTTGGGTTAAACATGAAATAAAATAAAAAATGTACAGTTGAAAGTGAAAGTTGAATGAAAAATTTTAAATTATATTTTTAACCCAACATTTGGGTTTGTTCATAATGGACCCAATTTTGGTTTAAAACAACCCAGCATTTTTTAGAGTGCTATAAAAATGTGATTTCTGAACGTTCAAAAAGTCCTGTTTTTCTTAAATGTTTTGAAAACTATTTTTTATTTTATTTTCTTGGTTATGCAAACTTTAAAGAGATAGTTCATGCAAAATGAAAATTCTGTCATTATTTAATCATACAGTGTACACTCTAAAAAATGCTGGGTTATTTCAACCCAAATTTGGGTCAAATATTGACAAACCCAAATGTTGGGTTAAACATGAAATAAATAAAAAATGTACAGTTGAAAGTGAAAGTTGAAGTTGGATTAAAATTTTAAATGATATTTTTATCCCAACATTAGGGTTTGTTCATATTGGACCCAATGTTGGTTTAAAACAACCCAGCATTTTTTAGAGTGATGAAAATGTGATTTCTGAACGTTCAAAAAGTCCCGTTTTTCTTAAATGTTTTGAAAACAATTTTTTTTTCTTGGTTATGCAAACTTTAAAGGGATAGTTCATGCAAAATGAAAATTCTGTCATTATTTAATCATACAGTGTACACTCTAAAAAATGCTGGTTTATTTCAACCCAAATTTGGGTCAAATATTGACAAACCCAAATGTTGGGTTAAAATGCAATTAAAAAAATGTACAGTTGAAAGTGAAAGTTGAAGTTGGATTAAAATTTTTAATTATATTTTTAAACCAACATTTGGGTTTGTCCATATTTGACCCAATTAAAACAACCCAGCATAGCTTAGAGTGTATGAATTTCTAGTACGAGGGGGGGAAAAACACCATGGAAGTCAATGGGGTCCGTCAACTGTTCGGTTACTCACATTCTTCATAACTTCTTCTTTTGTGTTCAGCAGAAGAAAGAAATTCATACAGGAATGGAACAATTTTCAAATATCCCTTTAATATAAACATTCCATTTGATCATTCTTCAAACATTAGTGGAATGTTATTTTTTGAATGTTTATCTTGAGCGTTCTAAAGCAAATAGTAGCTTTCAAAATGTTAGATGAATGTCAAACTAAAATGTTTCAGGACAAAATAATGTATTTGTGCCAGAACATTATTACTAGACCAGATAACTTTGAACAAACATTGTATTAACGTTACTGGAATAACGTTTGTTCAAAATTTGCCAGAATGCTCCCTGTTAGGTGGGATCATATTTCAGCAAACGGCATATTGAACTGAAAGCCATCCCTCTGTTTTGACTTTAAAGGGAATTATTCCTCTGAATTAGATGCACAGAATTTAGGCCACTTCGTAGACGACTGAAAGCAGAGCGATTGATGAAGTGAAGTGTACCTGCTTCCACCGCTGTAACCGTGATGTTGTGCCAGCCGGCCGTCTCTCGGTCCAGGATCTTTCCCAGAGTGATAGCACCTGTTACAGGATCGATGTTAAAGATCTGCTCCTCGTCTGTGCTTCGGTCTATGGAGAACCTGGGCATAAAGGACAAACACGGGTTTAAAGAGACACTCACTCAAAACCTTTTTCTTTTCAATAATTTTTCCATTAAAACAAAATGGACTGGGGCTGCCAAGCACTAAAAGAACATGAAAATGAACAGAGCATCTGGACCTCCACCCTAATGCAACTGAGAACTTTTTTTTGGCATACAGCTAAACATGCAACAAATTCAATACCATAGATGAAGAATAACAGGGAAGAGAGGAAATTGCACACTAATGTCATGGTTTGTGAACGCTTAATGGTGCAACGGTCTATTTGGATACTTTGATGGTGCCCTGACAGCAACTGGCCGTCCACGTTTCCATCATATATAATTACATACTACAAAACGGATTCTGAAAACATGTCACCCATACACACTTTTCTCCAAATGTTCAAATGCCATTTAACCAAATGTGTTATTTTTCAGGTAGCTGCAAGAAAAATGTCAACAGTTTAACTAACTTGCAAGATACTCTTCAAACTTGTCATAATAGTTGTCGACCTGATGAAAGATCAATAAAGAAAGTTGGTGCCAATGTTCACTTTAGAAACCGCTGTGACAACACAGAGAATGAACTTGAGTTGGATTTGGAATTGAATTAATAATGTATTTTATATTCCCATTCAGTTTCTTGAACTGATATGGAACACACAATCTGTATGGAGGTGCATTAAAATGAACTAAAATTCAAGGGAATTCCTATGATTGCAATTTTCAATTTTTATAGATAAAGTTCAGGAAAATTAGATTAGATTTATATATATATATATATATATATATATATATATATATATATAGCGCCGAAGTGATGACGTCACTTTGTAGGACAACTCGGAAGCTAGCAGCACATGGGTTCCCTCAGTCGAAAAGCAATGCATTTTCCCCATAGACTTTTGGAAAATCACAAAAAATAAGATCTGTGTTTAACAAAGAGTTGTGACCCTTACACATTTTGTCTATCAAGATAATCTTTACAAGTTAATCCAAAATGTATACATTTTGAAGCCTATATAAAGATTTTAAAAACACAATAAAGTTTAAAAAACCATAAGCAGGTTATAACTATGTGTAGTAAGTTTTTGTGTTAGTACTTCAATATAAACTAAACAAAATTAAATAAAAAAATCCATGGAAACTAACAGAAATATGTTTTATACATTTTTATATGCATATATTATTTCAAGTTAAAAATGGTTATTAATAATAAAACAGACAGACAGACAGACAGACAGACAGACAGTAAGACAGACAGATGATAGATAGATAGATAGATAGATAGATAGATAGATAGATAGATAGATAGATAGATAGATAGATAGATAGATAGATAGATAGATAGATAGATAGATAGATAGATAGATAGATAGATAGATAGATAGATAGATAGATAGATAGATAGATAGATAGATAGATAGATAGATAGATAGATAGATAGATAGATAGATAGATAGATAGATAGATATTCATCATAATTAAAACACTAACTATAATTTCTCGTCATGAATTGTGAGGACAAACTAGAGTCAGTACTTACATTGCCCCCTCCAAACAAATGATTAATATTTCATACAGTGCTTTGATAAACCGTTGCATATTTTCATCCCATGTGGAATACAATCACCTCTGACAGAATGATGAGGTGACGAAACTCAATGAGGTTTTTGTAATTTTTCACACTGACTTGCTTTACTCCCTTCACTTTTTAAGACCCTGGGGGTTTAATGTCAGCTTCTGCAGTTTTAGACTTTATATGGAATACACATTTATACAAATTAATTCACTTCTTATTTTACCTTGCGCTTATTACTCTGTGCCAATAGGTTAAGGCGGCTCTTTGGAAATAGTTAAAGTGCCCAAAGGGAGATGGCAGAGAATAACCTATTAAAGCTGAGGTGGAGAAGAGTCTGAATTTAGTCTGTGGAAAAGATTTTTCAACTACATTATTCTTATTGACTTTTAATGAAGCACAAGTCCAGAGCTGGTTGATTTAAAAAAAAGTCCTTGAGTTGTTGCATGTATTACAGTAATGTACAACTGCATTTAAACACATTCTTCATATACTGATAAAGAACAACAAAAACTACTGAAATATGGTAATGGTAAATATGGAAATGGTATTCCAGCATGGAAATAAGAAGTCTGATTGTTTCACCTCCATCCTCAAAATCAGTGTGACCCAAACATTTTAAACATTAAGAAAAATAAAATCCTGCTCTATTGCACAGATTCCTCAGTTTTTTGTCTTGTTTTCCAGTAAAAACATCCTTATATTGAGAAACATTTGAGAAGCATAATGACTTGCGATGTTAAGAAGAGATGAAAATTTATCAAATTTAAGCAACCTTAGGCTTAACAATTAACCAGACGACATTGCAGCAACAAATGTGACACGACTACGAGACACCACGAAATCACAGCCAATCAGAAGAGTGTGTGGGCGGAGTCTCTCTACAAGCGCACTGCACTCACAACCATATCAATTAAAAATCACAGCCAATCAGAAGAGTGTGTGGGCGGAGTCTCAATGCAAGCGCACTACACTCTCAAGCAAAATAATCCAAAATCACAGCCAATCAGAAGAGTGTGTGGGCGGAGTCTCTCTACAAGCGCACTGCACTCTCAACCAAATCAATTAAAAATCACAGCCAATCAGAAGAGTGTGTGGGCGGAGTCTCAATGCAAGCGCACTACACTCTCAACCAAAATAATCCAAAATCACAGCCAATCAGAAGAGTGTGTGGGCGGAGTCTCTCTATAACTGCACTACACTCTCAACCAAATCAATTAAAAATCACATCCAATCAGAAGAGTGTGTGGGCGGAGTCTCTCTACAAGCACACTGCACTCGCAACCAAAATAATCCAAAATCACAGCCAATCAGAAGAGTGTGTGGGCGGAGTCTCTCTACAAGCGCACTGCACTCGCAACCAAATCAATCCAAAATCACAGCCAATCAGAAGAGTGTGTGGGCGGAGTCTCCATGCAAGCGCACTACACTCTCAACCAAATCAATTAAAAATCACATCCAATCAGAAGAGTGTGTGGGCGGAGTCTCTCTACAAGCGCACTGCACTCTCAACCAAATCAATCCAAAATCACAGCCAATCAGAAGAGTGTGTGGGCGGAGTCTCTCTTCAAGTGCACTACACTCACAACCAAATCAATCCAAAATCACAGCCAATCAGAAGAGTGTGTGGGCGGAGTCTCTCTACAACTGCACTACACTCACAACCAAATCAATCCAAAATCACAGCCAATCAGAAGAGTGTGTGGGCGGAGTCTCTCTACAACTGCACTACACTCTCAACCAAATCAATCCAAAATCACAGCCAATCAGAAGAGAATGAGGTTAGAGTCTGATAAAATCACAAATATTACATATATAAATGTACCACACCACACTGAAAGAATTCGTAATATTTTTGTCTTGTTATCCGTTCTTCTTAATTCGAAATTCTTAAATCAAGATCAATAACATTGACTTAAGTTGGAAAATTAAAAGAAGAATAATGTGGGGTAAGAAAAATCAACTTAATTCAAGGGGGGAATGACTATTTTTACTTGTTATACGGCAAAAACTCCCTTGTATCTTGATTTAAGAATGTTTAGATATTTTTACTGGAAAACAAAACAAAATTGTGATTTTTTTTTTACTATTGTTTTTTTTCACTGAAGTACCAATGTCCCTCTTGGAGCTCATAAAAAGCCACAGCCACAAAGAAAACAAACAAATATTTCCCTCTCCAAATAGCAGGATTGTGTTTTCCAGCAGGTACCGTGCGCTCTGAGGGCTCGGCCCAGCCCGTGTGCCGCTGGTATTGGGTGGTTCGGGCACAAGAGAGAGTGATGGGGCTCTGGGCAAAGCCTCTGTTTGCTAGCCGAGTCCAATGGAGATGATTAAAGTGGTACCGATGGGCAATGGCTCCATGCCATATGCAGATGTGTGCCAGCCAACCAGCCGAGTTGCTTGCCACTGCGCTGTGCTTTATAACACCTGGAGCACTTTGAGTGCAGCCTCATGCATTTTTAATGGAGGTAATTTGCAAAGGCTATGTGTATGTGTGCCAGAGAGACTATACGGCCAGCCAAAGCATTTTACTTCCCTTGTGCGTCACCTTTGAGCAGCAGCAATGAGTAAATCATATTTCGGTGCGCTGATGGCTCTGGAGAATAAAAAGCTCCATCAGGATGTCCAATTGCATGATAAAAATGCAGGGCGGGCATATTTGGTAATGGTAATTCAGATGGCATGCCTACAGACCACCCTCAGCGTTCGCCCACCATCTGATGCATTTACTAAAATAGAAACAAACGCAAGTTCCTCATTGCCACAGATTAACTGGTTAGACGTTAGAGTCATCAAATAGTGAAAAGCAGGTTTTAATTTGTGCTTGAACAAGACGGACCGAACACCACTGGAATTGGATCCAACATCTATTTCAGTGGATCCACCACGAAAATTATTGACCTGTAGATTATAAAATGATGTGACCTTTACATTTGATTTTTTTTTTAGGCTATACATTTTTTTTGTTGGCTATTCCCCTTTAAAAAAAACAATTATTGTTTTTTCTGAAGCAAACTTTTCTAATTTCTAAATTTAGAATATATATATATATATATATATATAGGGCTGGGCAACGATTAATCGCGATATATTATTTAAACACAAAAAAGTTTGTGTTTACATAATATGTTTGTAGTATGTATAATTATTTTGAATATATAAATAGACACACATGCATGTAAATGTAAATTGAAAAATGTGTTACTAATACATCAAATATTTATATTTATACTTAATATATATTATTTATACAGTAAATATATATAAAATATATACATGCAAATATTTCGTAAATATATACATGCATGTGTGTGAATTTATATACAAAATAATTATACACACTACACACATATTATTTAAACACAAACTTTTTTGGATGCGATATATATATATATATATATATATATATTCTAAATTTAGAAATTAGAAAAGTTTGCTTCAGAAAAAACAATAATTGTTTTTTTTAAGGGGGAATAGCCAACAATGTAGAATGAAAAAATATAAAAATAAAAGCTAATTAAAAATATTAAGAAATACTATAATTGTATGTAAATAACAGTGAAATTATACTGATTAAAAAAATGAATAAACAAAATAATTATAAAGTCTATGTTATATCTTATCAGATCACAGAACATTATTTAATTATTTAAAGTAAAAAAAGAGATAATAATTTAAATCAATTGCTAAATCAATGTTAGAAGTCAATGTAACAACATTATAATCGACAATACGGAAGTAGGAAAAATATGCATAATTAAATTAAATATATATATTTACAATACCGATTGATGCTTGTGTCGTCTCATATCTGATATGAAAACTATATATTATGCATCACAAAATAAATCAATAAATAAATCCATTCTAGATAGTATTACAGTATAATCAGTAAAGTAACAATGAAAAAATTCCAGATAAACCCTCTCCTTAAAGGCATATAAAAACAAACTTTGACCAATCCCTTTACACGCCGATCACGCTGTCTTTTCCTTCAGAAGTGTGTGTGCTTCTCTGCAGACTTTCTGCCTCGAGTCACAGGTGTGGAAACGCAAGACTACACAACAGCACACAGAGAGTTTTTGCGATTGAGCAGACTTCTGACATGCTTTCCAAGGCCTCGAGGTAAACTAGACTGTGCATGTGTGTGTTAGTAAAGAAGGATGGCAGGTTGATAACTGTGTGTGCCAAGGTGCCCACAGTGTGATGGGAAAAGCCTCCGGCCAGCGAATTCCAAGAGCCACACTTTGTTACGCTTCTGTGACTCGGTATATCTCCAGTAATAGGCTCTTCAATGGAAGAAATTGATCCTTGTCTAAACCAAGAACAAGTGGACTGTGGCCAGGGTGCAAACACACACACACACACACACACAAACAAACTGTTTTGCCTTTTCACTTTATCTCATTGAGGCTCACAGTTGTGCATTGTGATAAAATAGCTGATAAAGCAGTGTGGCTGCCAAGCTTAATGATGTATTTAAATTCAAAAACCCCTTTAAGATCTATATCTGCAGAGTTGTGCAACAAAGTTTTGCCCATGCAACAAATTACTACTAAATATTTAAGGCTGCAGTGTTTCCTAACGTGACTTATCCATTTATAAACAACGTCACAATCACAATCAGTCAACATAAAGCATCCGCAAGCCATTTCAGCTTCAAACTCTCAATGATCGAGGAACATCTCCCTCGTGTGTCAATTTCAGATGTACGGTTAATTTACGGGCCACACCGTACCTGACGGGGACGTTATCCATATCCGGATCTCTTGCGGTCACAATTCCCACCAGCGCACCCATCCGAGCGTCTTCCTGAACCTCCATGACGGTGCCGGCCGCAGGGATGAAGATGGGAGGCTCATCCACATCCGACACGCTGACCCTCACGATGGTTTGGTCCCGGAAAGACCCGAGATCCACGAAACGAGGGTCCACGTGTTTGTTTACAGCCTCGACGACCACATTATGCGTGCGCTTGTTCTCAAAGTCTAGAGGCTGGAAAGAAAGAGACGATTGGAAACTCCTCAGGAAAGGATCAATAACCTGTTGCACTGATTGATAGTTTAGACTTTTTAGCTTGTGAAAGTCGTTTTGCAGTGAAATCTTATGATTTTTTTTTTATAAAGTAAACATGGATACCTTTTATGTTGTTAGTTATGTTTCAAGATGAACACTTACTTGACTGAAGCAACTTCGGTTTATTTGATTACCCACAAACAAATCACGAGTATCAAATATGGTCAGGCGTTTGACGGATCTATCAATCATCATTGCGTTGCATTATGTTTTAAAACTACATAAAACTAAGCATTTAAATATAATATTGAGACATTATTTGCAGATAACTGATATTTATATGCATTTCATGTAAGTAGTTTGTTATAGTGTTATACAAATCGAATTAATTTACAAGCTATCAGAATTTCATCTTTCTTGTTGACCAAATAAATATCAACATCTGCACCAAATTGCATATTTTTGCTCAGTTTGGGCCTCTGAATAAAATTATATTAAGAGCTCCATATTTTCAGTAGCCATATGCGCCATAAAAGGCTGATATATCAAATGTGAAACAAAACATAAGACCTATGCATTTTTTTTAAAGCCTATCATTGAAAAATATTATTTTTTTTGTTATTATTATTATTATTTAAGATTTTGTGTAGTAGTAAAAAAAAGAAAGAAAAAAAAATCCAGCCTATAATTATTTTTCAATGACAGGCTTTTTTCTTTTTAGGGTTAAAGAAGAGAATTAATAATTTTAAACACTTTTCAATGTACAGTCTTAGAAAAAAGGGTTCATTGGGGTTCTATATATGAAGCATAGGGTTCTTTACTCACCTCCAAAGAACATTTTATGCTAAAAAAGGTTCTATAATGACAAGAAAGAACCCTTTTGGGTTCATTATTCGTTCATATATTACATTATTCTGCAACATTTTATAAATAAATTATTGTTTATTAAACTGTTGTAGTAACTTAATACCACATTTTAATCATGCTGATTTTTGGAAGAGAAAAACTGAAATGGCACTCTTCCTGTGATATTGATTAACTACATAAAATGATAGAAATAAATACATTTTCTAATTTTATGATCATTCACATGCATTCATAAATACATTTTAGGGTCTTGCTGTTTGTCAATAATATGAAATATTTAATCCTGAAAGGACAAAACAAATGATAATGAATGAACCCAGAAGGTTCCATATAGAACCTTTTTTCCCTAAAGGGTTCTTATTGTTGAACCCTTAAAAAGAGTTCTGTATGGAACCTTTTAGGGGTTCCAAATACGTAGCGCTGATAGAACCTTCTAGAACCTTTTCTTCTAAGAGTGAAGACTTGTACATCAGTGCACATCTGTTGAATCACCGCTTGATGTAATAAAACAGTAGTTGCACTGAACATCAGAAAGCACACACACACAATACGGGCACATGAAGGGCAGGACGACCTTCAGAGCGTGAAATGGCACGAGGGAGAGGTCTTCCATCTACCTTTTTGATGGTGATGACGGCCTCTTGTGTGTCTCCATCGGTCGAGACCCTGAACAGCTCTCCCCCCTCCTCGTCTTTGATCAGGTAACTCATATCCGTATTCTCGCCCATGTCTGCATCTGTCGCGATCACCCGGCCAAGAGGCGTCCCAACGCCTGCGCCCTCCGAGACCGAAAACTGATACATCTCTGTGAGGGAGAGACAGGGCGCAACTTTCATTTTCATGCTGAGAATGCATGCACATTAGGACTGGAAAATACAGAAGAAGAAAAAATAATTAAATAAAATATAATGCATTCAAACTGGATTTTATTCAGTCACAGTAAAAATCTAGTTAATGTTTTTGTACCATTTTTCACTACATGAACAGAAAAAAAAATCTATTTTAATATTTTTAATTTTATATGCACCAATATAGCAGAAGGAAAATTCCTCTTATGCTCACCAAGGCTGCACTTATTTAATCAACAAAATATAAATATAAAATATCTGTTTTCAGCATCATTACTCCAGTCTTCAGTGCATGATCCTTCAGAAATCATTTCTGATTATCATCAATGTTGGAACCAGTTGTGCTGCTTCATATCAGGATTCGTTGATGAATAAAAAGTTCAAAAGAACAGCATTTATTTGAAATAGAAGCTTACAGATATAAAAAAAAATATGCGTATGTAATCATTAGAAATCAATTTCTCTAAAGAACATCAATGTGTTTTTCACACGCCGAAGCCGACTGTTGAAGCCGCTGCATCTACTCTAAAACACAATGACAAACCTCACTTTAATAAGCATCTTGGCCTTACATAATATCCATATGTAATATGTTTGAGTGCAGTGTGTGTCACAGCGGAGTATAAAGATCTCAGTTTGGGCCACAATGCAAAAAGCAGCTTAATGAATTAGATGCTACAGCAAAACTGGCATAAATGAGGCTTTTGTGGAGAACGAGAGAGGGAAAAAAAGAGGAGAGTCATCGAGATATGGAGAAAAACAGACATCAGGGCATGCGAGACAGAGTTCCAGCGAGTCTCTTTGCTGTAATAAAGCTAATGCTGCTTTTCCTCTGGAGGAAATGGAAAGAGAGAGCGGAAGAACTGCAAAATGGAAATAATAACCGAATGTGTTTCATTGCTCTTTATACGGTGTGGTTGCAAACACACACACACAAGCAGTCTTGCTTCCAGACATGAAATGTATTAAAGCATTGGCCACATGGTCGGCTCTGATGTGAGCAATGAGACAAAGTGCTTTTTATTTGTCTGAGCCTGTGATGTGTGTTACAATCCGCTCTATTCAGAGCCACACCACACACACTACAAGTCAAGCACATATACTGTATCTGTCAATTGTATCCACAAGTTTCCTACGCCCCATGAGGCCTTGCGTCAAAAGTGGGCGCGACTTCCGGTAGGAAGTAAACAAAGCGCGATTTGACATGCTTGACACTCGTTCATTCAACAGTTGACGGTCATTCAAGTTATAGCGATCCAACGATGTGGGAACACAACCTCAACGAAATTCAAAAAGGTGAAATAACAGTACCTTTACCCTCCGCAGTAGTTGATTGGGAGTATTATAATAACATTATTAATAATCAATACTCATCAAGGCATGCGGTGACAGACAGTTGTGCGAGCTGACAAACAATTAAAATAAAAATACACACTTAGTCATTGTGCTTTGGTCGGAGTTTATTCAAAATTATAAATGAATGTGCTACTGGAATACATTAACTTGCACATTTGGTAGGCTATTCTGTCAACTCGGGCTTTGATCCTGAGTTTAGCTGTAACATGAGTAGCGAACAGCCAATCACATGCTGATAGAGTTTATAGAATATGAAGAATTTAAACAAATGTACACAGGAAGATTCGTCGTCTTTTGGGAGGTGATGGAAACTACAGTCGTTGGCAGGATCACTCTGATTTCGTTTTCAGCTTATGTTCAAAACAATCACGTTTAAGCCACTGAACTAGTTTAGTCCGGTTATACATACAACCGCGAACAGCACATGTTGTCCCCGAGCTCCGTAACGACATCTCTCATAAAGATTTGCGTCTTTAAATAGTAAAATAATTCTCCGAAAAACCAACGCAGTCTCATCCCAAAAAGTCATATAACTGACGTCTTGGGACGTATTTTGACCATACGTCAATATTTGCCTTTTTAGGGCCCCCTTAAACGTCGGTAGATGAGGTTATGGGATCCTAACTCTACCCCAGACCTAAACCTAACCCGTCACCTAACTGACGTTAAAGGTAAAGCGTCAGTTGTATGACGGCCCGGGATCGCCATCTAGCGACGTTTAAGGGGGCCCTAAAAAGGCGGATATTGACGTACGGTCAAAAAACGTCCCAAGACGTCAGTTATATGACTTTTTGGGATGAGAATGTGTTGGAAAAAAGGCTAGCCTCTTCGCTAACTAACACACAAAATACCATTGGAATGCTACTTCCGCCGCGTCACCGGAAGTTTCACCCACTTTATTTTTTACAGGCGCGGCCCTCGGAATCTTGTGGATATAAACCTTTGAAAATGTAGACATTCTTTTTTATATATATTTATGATGCAACACTGGGAGTTCTACCAAACTAACACAAGCAATTTTTTTATATTATTCAATTAATACTTGCAATACATTGATCAAAGTGACAATAAAGACATTTAGTTTAGAACTTTTCTTCAAAAAGTTGAAGATATTATAAGAAAAATAATAAGAAATGGTGCAAATCATCTGAAGGATCATGTGACACTGAAGACTGTAGCAATGATGCTGAAAATTCAACTTTGATCACAGGAATATATTAAATTTTACTTTATATTCACATAGAAAACAGCTATTTTGAATGTTAAAAATATTTCACAATATTACTGTTTTTACTGTATTTTTTGTCAAATAAATGCAGCCTTGGTGAGCAGAAGTGACTTCTTTTAAAAACATTTAAAAATCGTAGTCAGATATATGTATATTCAGATATATCATGTAAAAAAAAAAAAAAAAAAGAGAGAAAAAAAAAAATATATATATTTGTAATATAGTACAGCCTCACACCCAAAATCAACAAGCTATATTCCTGCCAAAAAAAATGAGTTATTTCAGCCAGTGGAATTATTTCGGGCTCCAAGGCTGCAAGATTTGGACTTGGTCTTGAATGGTTCTGACCGAACACATACGCCTGACAGGCTCTGACCGACGGGACGCTTGATAGACCTTCATAGCTGACAGCAGAGCTTTAGTGGCGTTCACACTGACAGCCATTTACAGCAACAAAGAAGCCATTCGTTTTCAATCAGAGTCGGCCATTTGAAGGAATATAGCGAACTCAAAACTTCTGTTATCAATTACTCATCCTCCCAAGGATGATCTTGGATACATGGGACTGTCAATCTCCAAACTGACAAAACAGCACCATGAAAGTGACAAAATAGCATTTATATGCTATATTTCAAGTCTTCTGAAGTCATACACTTGCTTTGTGTGTTCTGTAGCATTGTCGTCATGGTACATTCCTGTCTGATTTGTGAACAAATGAGTCCAATATATTCAGTTCACATAACTAGCCTAAATGATTTGCTCATGATTCAGACTGATCCAATTCTTCACTGACTCAATGAATCAGCTCATTAGAGAGAAATATTATCAATCAATTACGACTTCAATGTATTTATGATAGTTTTATAGTGATTTTGCGTCTGTTTCGAAGCGTGTCGTTCATTGTAATTGCACAAAAAATCAAAACAGGGCAAGCACATTTAAAATATCTTGTGTTTGTTACCTGAAGAAAGAAAGTCATACGGCATGAGGGTGAACAAATCCTTTTAAACAACTTATACCATGGTCTGATTGGCTGGAAGGTGCAATAAAACCATTTAATGCACAGGTAGATCCGGTCACTGTTCTATGTGTTAACAAGAATGTCCTAAAGGTTGCCTCTCCATTACTGAATGCTTTTCTCCACATAATGTGTGCAACAGTTTTATGGATAAACTGCCACTCATGCTAAGTCTGATTGATTATTGTTAATCATAAAGTTTACTATATGGTAGCTATTTACAATAAGGTTTTACTTGTTAACATTAGTTAACTAGATAATTTAACATGAACTATACAATTAACAATACTCACACGTCATTTAATAATAATACTATTATATAGAGCCTTTAAAAGTTCTTAAAGTTCATTCTTTGGATGGATGGATGGATGGATGGATGGATGGATGGATGAATAGACGATGGATGGATGGATGGATGGATGGATGGATGGATGGATGGATGGATGGATGGATGGATGGATGGATGGATGGATGGATGGATGGATGGATGGATGGATGGATGGATGGATGGATGGATGGATGGATGGATGGATGGATGGATGGATGGATGGATGGATGGATGGATGGATGGATGGATGGATGGATGGATGGATGGATGGATGGATGGATGGATGGATGGATGGATGGATGGATGGATGGATGGATGGATGGATGGATGGATGGATGGATGGATGGATGGATGGATGGATGGATGGATGGATGGATGGATGGATGGATGGATGGATGGATGGATGGATGGATGGATGGATGGATGGATGGATGGATGGATGGATGGATGGATGGATGGATGGATGGATGGATGGATGGATGGATGGATGGATGGATGGATGGATGGATGGAGATAGATAGATAGATAGATAGATAGATAGATAGATAGATAGATAGATAGATAGATAGATAGATAGATAGATAGATAGATAGATAGATAGATAGATAGATAGATAGATAGATAGATAGATAGATAGATAGATAGATAGATAGATAGTTTTTGTAGGTCTGGAAATAAAGCCATCATAAAACGTGATGGACGTCAGTGCTGAGAGACACAAAGCCGACCCAAAGGACAGGGCTGACGGCATGACACACACTCACTCTGAGGGAAGCGTGGAGGGTTGTCATTAACATCCGTGATCACTATGGTCACAGTGGTAGAACCAGAGAGACCACCCATTTGGCCCGCCATATCCGTTGCCTTGACGACCAGCTCATAACGGTCCTGTGTCTCCCGATCGAGATCCGCCACGGCTGTCCGGATCACTCCTGAAGAGAGAGAGAGAGAGAGAGAGAGGCTGGGTAAATGGGTGATGAAAGGTCACACGAGCAACGTTACATGCTTAAAGCCACTAGTTCTTCTTCTTTTGCTTTCAGCATTGACTTCAGTTTAAAGAATATGTTTATGAATGTGCCGTTTGTTGATTTCAAATATCAACAGGGTTTCTTTAGCATTATATAATAATATAGTGCAGTAAACGGGAGGGCAAGGGGTTGATGGAGGTTCGATTCGTCTCAAAAAAGACCACAACATCTTGACATTATGTAATAAACAAGTGCAACCTTACACTCTAAAAAAAAATTCAGTGGCTTAGTAAATATCACAGTAATAATTAACTTTAATAATATCATTGAACATCATTTACTTGATAGTTTGAGTTGAACCTACGCTATCTCAGGACCAATTCGTACGAATTCGTACAAGTGATTAAAAAGTGGCTAATTCGTACTAATTCATACGACCTCACTCGTACGAATGGACAAATATCTATCTATCTATCTATCTATCTATCTATCTATCTATCTATCTATCTATCTATCTATCTATCTATCTATCTATCTATCTATCTATCTATCTATCTATCTATCTATCTATCTATCTATCGTACGACCTCACTCGTACTATTTGTCCAAACCCACATGATAGGTAGGTTTAGGGGCGGGGTCAGGGGTAGGTCATTCGTACGAATTCATACGAATTGGCCAATTCGTAAAATATGTATGATTTAGCAAAAAAACGTACTAATTCGTATGAGTGAGGTCGTACGAATTGTTACGAATTAAAATTCGTAAAATTTGTACGAATTCCCGTGAGAACGGGTTGACATACAAAAATAATTGACTAAAAATCCAACAGTTAATTTCGTCTGAAATGTTCAGTTGTATTTAAGTTTTTTCAGTAAAAGAATTTAGTATTTGACTAACCAATTATTTATTTAAAATATACTTAATTTATTTGTGAAAATATTTTGAGAATGAGAGGTCGTGAGAGGTCTACAGACGATTTTTTGATTTTTATTCTTTCTTTTTCTGAGTACCTACATTTTAATTATACATTGATATATACAGAAAGTTTAAACAATTTTTTTGGGGAAAAAAACAATCCTACCTACAATACCTTTAAGTTGAATTACTAAAATTACTAAAACTGAAATATAAATAAAGCTAAATAAAGAAATATGCAAAAAAAGACTAAATGACAACAACATTACTAAAACTTAAGGCAAAATTAAAAAGAAGTTTTCTATTTAAAAAGCCAATACACATAAATGCTAGTTAATAATACTAAAATAATTGTTAGCTATATGAGATACAAATAAAGAGACAGCTGTCTGACAATATGAAGTGTTCACACAGATTAGATTTTTTTTCTAATTCACACAAAAAACATGAGGTAATGTTAGACTGCATTTTTAACCGGTGGTTCTGTGTAGAAATAATTATTAGTGCAGATATAGAACAAGCAACTCTATCAACATGGATTAAAATCCCAAAGCTTTGCTGGTGATTTCAGCGTTTCTTTGAGATCTGGCTGATGAAATCTCTCACTCATCTTTACTGTAACATCTGCAACCGTATCCTGCGGTTTGACTGACAGTGATTATAGTAGTTTGTCACATTTCGTGTCAAATTTGCTGCATCCAGTTGAGCTCCTGTGACATCAGAGCGGGGAAAGGTTGTGCGCAACAGGTTGTGCTTATCTTTTGCCACCATTCTTGGGGAAAAAAAGGCAAATTTAGTTTTTTTTTTTTTTCTTCGATCTGAAACGAATAAACGGACCAACGCAGCAGGGGTGTCGGGCTGGCGTGTGTCCTTTACCATTCTCATAATTTCCATGCCTGAGTCTAACCAATGCCATGGCAACCAAGGATAATTGCAGTCCTTCAGGCTAACACAGTGTCATTGTCTTTATTTCACTCCCAAAATATCTTGATTCCTGGACCAGTGATCCTGGCAGGAGAAAAAGCTAGTGGTTTACATCCTGGTTTTGGATGTCATAAAATAAAATAAAATAAAATAAAATAAAATAAAATAAAATAAAATAAAATAAAATAAAATAAAATAAAATAAAATAAAATAAAATAAAATAAAATAAAATAAAATAAAATAAAATAAAATAAAATAAAATAAAATATTTTGAATATAATATTTTGAATATAAAATATAATATAATATAACATATTAGTTTAAATCTAAATATAATAATAGTTTAAATATAATTTATAAAATAAATATAATATAATATAATATCTATTTTTTTCATATTATATTATTATTTATTATGCATTAAAAACAATGCAAAAAATAATAAATAAATAAAATAGGACCAATATCTCAAATGTTAAAAAATGCACATATACAAATGTGCATAACAAAAATATTAAAACATAAACTTACATTTTAATATAACATAATTTTATATTATAGTTTATTATAGTTTATTTTAAATATAAATATAAATATAATATAAAATAATATATTATTTTAAATATAGATGTAATATAATAAATATAAATATACATATACATACAATATAATATCTATTTTTTCATATTATATTATTATATATTATGCATTAAAAACAACGCAAAAAAAGTAAAATAGGACCAATGTCTCAAATGTAAAAAAATGCATATATACAAATGTGCATACAAAAAATATTAAAACATAAATAAATAAATAAACATAAATAATAAAACATTTGAATATAATATAATTTTATATTATAGTTTATTTTGCATTGAATATATATATACATATATATATATATATAAGTAAACTGGTTGCCTTAAAATTTTAAGTTCATCGAAATGGAAAAATTGAGTTTAGATTAATTTAATCATCAAATTAATTTAATCATCAGAAACTCAAAATATTGTTATCTGAACTACATCAATTATCTAAGCTGATTTGACAAAAGAAAAAAATGTGGTGATTACAAATCATGAAAATATTTTTTTACAGTGATGTATACACATATAAATTGAAAAAAGAACAATAAATATTATCATCTCAAAAGTAAAACTATTTTTCTGAATTTGAGAGGAAGTGTGCTTGAATTCGAATGTGTCACAATGGGGGAAAAAATAGCTAAAAAAAATTACTGTGGGGTGAAAAATGAGCCAGACATGTTTTCATGCTCCAAACAGCACTATTCTGAAACATTGTGAACAGAGGATAATATAAAGGTGCTGTGTTTCAGTAGTCAAAAACCTACTTGGGCGGAAAAACAAAAACATAAACCGTGGCATTCCTTGTGGGTTTGTGCAACAAACAAACGCTCGTCTGGCTGTCTATGTCATTTTCTTTGTGTGCTTTGTTTCTATCTGCATTTCTTCTGCTCTCTCTCGTCACACTGCTGAGGATCTGCGCATTCCCAGTGAGGAACCGCTAGCCACCGGCAATGTTTGTGTGGAAGAGTGCATCTGTACAAAGAGCTCACTGCTAAAGATACGTGTGCTGCTTTTAAGAATCCAGAGCACAAACCTCTCTCTCTCTCTCTCTCTCTCTCTCTCTCTCTCTCTCACTCTTCAACCACATAAAGCTGCTGACCTGAGGTCAGATCCATTACAAGTACAGTCTGAAGTTGTGCCAATGCAAAGCACTCCACCTGAAAGACTTTTGATGGAAACATGGCGTTCTTGGCTAGATTAGGGTCATGCATCAAGCAGGATGAACTCAAATGAGATCACCTTAATAACTCAACTGTTTCAATGAAGTATTTTGCTGAAGTCTAATGCTTCTCAGATGTTTTTTCCTGGTAAAAAAAAAAGACCACAGTAATCTCACTCGTTTCGCCTCTAAATGCCAAAAACACTCAGAATGAAGTCTGCAATCGAAGTCAAAGATCTGGCACATTTCTCATCAAATTCTTCCATGATCAAATTGATCTGAGCTGCTATCCAGATTTATTTTAGCTCTACACTCACCTAAAGGATTATTAGGAACAGCATACTAATACTGTGTTTGACCCCCTTTCGCCTTCAGAACTGCCTTAATTCTACGCGGCATTGATTCAACAAGCATTCTTCAGAAATGTTGGACCATATTGATAGGATAGCATCTTGCAGTTGATGGAGATTTGTGGGATGAAGCTCCCGTTCCTCCACATCCCAAAGATGCTCTATTGGGTTGAGATCTGGTGACTGTGGCGGCCATTTTAGTACAGTCAACTCATTGATATGTTCAAGAAACCAGTTTGAAATGATTCCAGCTTTGTGACATGGTGCATTATCCTGCTGGAAGTATCCATCAGAGGATGGGGACATGGTGGCCATAAAGGGATGGACATGGTCAGAAACAATGCTCAGGTAGGCCGTGGCATTTAAACGATGCCCAATTGGCTCTAAGAAGCCTAAAGTGTGCCAAGAAAACACACCATTACACCACCACCACCAGCCTGCACAGTGGGAACAAGGCATGATGGATCCATGTTCTCATTCTGTTTACGACTCTACTAAACAGAAATCGAGACTCATCAGACCAGGCCACATTTTTCCAGTCTTAAACTGTCCAATTTTGGTGAGCTCTTGCAAATTGTCGCCTCTTTTTCCTATTTGTAGTGGAGATGAGTGGTACCCGGTGGGGTCTTCTGCTGTTGTAGCCCATTCGCCTCAAGGTTGTGTGTGTTGTGTCTTCATACCTCGGTTGTAACGAGTGGTTATTTCAGTCAAAGTTGCTCTTCTATCAGCTTGAATAAGTCGGCCCATTCTCCTCTGACCTCGAGCATCAACAAGGCATTTTGGCCCACAGGACTGCCGCATACTGGATGTTTTTCCCTTTTCACACCATTCTTTGTAAACCCGAGAAATGGTTGTGTGTGAAAATCCCAGTAACTGAGCAGATTGTGAATATAGTCTGGCACCAACAACCATTGCTTAAATCAACTTTCATTCCCATTCTGACATTCAGATTGGAGTTCAGGAGATTGTCTTGACCAGGAACACACCCCTGCCATGTGATTGGTTGATTAGATAATTGCATTAACGAGAAATTGAACAGGTGTTCCTAATAATCCTTTAGGTGAGTGTATATTCTTAGTTTCTCTCAACGATGGTCTCAATTTTGTGTATTTTTCTGAAAAGTCGTGTAAAAAATGTTACTGGAATCTAAATGAGGTATGAAAGAGTGATAAAATCTTCCTCTGGAGTTTCAAACTTGTAAAATTAAGCAAAGATTATGAAACTTAGTTTTACAAGAAATTACTGTTTCAGTCTTTCCACTTCAAAATTTCACATTTATTTAATGTGTGACTCTCCATTGCTTTGTAATGATTTGTGCAATTTACTAGCAATTTCTGAGAGAAAATTGCTCAAAGTAAATCCTTAGCGTAGGTTTTTTTTTTTTTTTCATATTCTGGTAATTTCAGGGAAGCAAGAGGTTGAAAAGCTCCTCTCATTTGAGAAAATTGCAGAAGCAAATGAGAATATCATCAAACGGCTTGAACATTTGGAGAACACGAGATGAGAACCCGTAGTTCAAAAACACTGGATTTAATAAACTGATATTAATATCAAACTCCTCAACTTGCCTTTTGATATATCCCGTGTCAAAGACTAAAAGTCCCGTCCAGGGATTAACGCTGTTTTTCTGGAGGTTCAGAGAAAGAAACGAGGTCAAAACACGCAGATCATCTTCTTCCAGCTCATCGAACTGTCCTCGGATCAAAAGGAAGGAGCGTGCAAAAAGTCCAGCGGTTAACGTTGCACAAGCGAAGCCATTTATCATCCGGTGCTCTAAGGTCTCGTGCCCGCCGGCCAGAAAAAGAAATCATTAAAAGTTTAGTGCTAGTTCCCCGGGGATGAACGCAGGCAACAAACGCTGAGATATTCCCGGGAGAATCCAGTGATGACGGCCAGTTCATGTTTGCTTACACCGCTGCGTATCTCAAATAAACCTCACGCCAGCACAAACACATTCTGATGCGATACTCTTTAAAAATGATTTCATGCAAGGAAAATGAAAATATTTTTCACAGCATTCAAAACACACTCATTTATAATAAATGAAAAAGTGTAAAACACGATGCCGTTCAAAGGATTGGGGGGATCAATATGATTATTTTAAAAGTTATTTATAATCATTAAATATTCAACAAGGATCCTTTAAACGGACCCAAAGGATTAAAATAAATTAAAATATATTAAAATATATTAAAATAGAAAATTGTAAAAAAATACTTCACAATATTACTGTTACTATTATAACTAACTTTCTAAAAGTCACAGCTTTTCAAAAGCTTCGGGTCACCCAGAAAGGATGTGTTAGACATTTATAAGTAAAAAAAGAGGAAGATTTATATTGCAAATATAACATAATTGTTTCAACATTAATAATAATCATAAATGTTTCTTTAGCATCAAATCTGCATATTACAGGGTGACTTTTTAAGACTTTAAATTAAATTTAAGACCAAACTTACGATGGAAATATGAAAAATATACAGTAATAATTCCAAGTAAACACACATCTCACATATTTTAGTGCTTTTGTAAGCAGAAGAGACCCCAAACTTCTGAACAGTAGTATATGATATATTTTTCTCTTTACTTCCTCCATAGGGAATAAAACAAATCACAATTTCACTCAACGGAAAATTTGCTACATTTCTAGTAACTATTTAGTGCTGGTGAAACAAGCACCAGAAAACTATCTCTAGAATGACAAAAAACTAATAGTCAATATCTGAAAAGTTTTTTTTAAGTTTCTGAAAGTCATCGTGCAAAACTTCACACATAATATTTGCTTGCAAATGCGCCAATTAAAAGTTGTATCCAATGTGTGGATGACATGCAAAAGGCTTTCGACATGATTATATATGCTCCGATTCATAAGAAATGATTATGTAGAGAACAAATCGTTGCGCTTACCGGTTTGTCGGTCAACAGTAAAGAATCTCTCCCCGTCCAGGACGCTGTAAACTATCCGAGCGCTGCTTCCATAGGTCGGGTCATCAGCGTCCGAGGCCATAACCTTCATCACTGACGTCCCTGTATTCAACACATCAATTGTTTCACGTTAGATTGTTGTTTCATCAAGTAAAATGACATTTTCAAAGACATCATTTCCATCAAGTTGTAAGCGTTTCCAGAGCATTTAGCTGTTCAATTTATTCAATGCATTTTCTGAGCCAATTGTGTGCATTTCAACAGCCTCCTGGCTCCTGATACAAAGCACATATTTACATTTAGTCACACGTTTTAACTAAAGCAAAGCCTGCAGCCTATAAAGCTTAATGGACCTTATTCCTGAGGGGGGAATGCAATCTTCTCGCACGAAAAGCCTGGAAAACGAAGACAGGGAAGAAGATAAGGCACACAGAGTTTAAAGGAGGAGTGTTCAGCCTCATGTCATTGCAAACCTGTACGATGCTTTCTTTTCGGTGGAACACAAAAGGAGATTTTTGCAGGAATCTCTACAAAGCTCTTTTATATACAACAATAGCTTATAGTGGCCATGTCTGTCGAGCAACAAAAAGGACAGAAAAGTCTTCTGAAGGGATGCGATACCTGAAAAAATCTGAATGTGGATGGAAATATCAGAGTTTTATTAAGAGGAATATCATCAGTGAATAAAAACTCCAGTACGTCAGAAACTGAACGCTCATCCAGTGTAGACAGCGTCAGTCATTATAATGGCTTTTGATGCGACACTCACATCTGGTGTATGCAAACGGTTAAGTGACTGAATGCCAGTGATGCGATGATGTACACCTATTTGTTGAGGTCTCGTTTTGAAGGCGGGCATATGCAAATGTATTTTGCCTATGTGATGTCGTAGATCACGCAATATCCAAAAAAGCGGTTTTGGAGCTTGATTAAATAAAGACAACGGCTATTTACACTAAGTGAAAATAACATATTTTCTTAGCGATATCTGCTATTTACACTAGGTGAACATAGCAGTAGATTATATCCACACTATGTACTTGTACAAATAGCAGTATTTTCTTTGCATTAAGTATAAATAGTAGTTAGAAGCGATTTATACTTATAAATAGTGGAAGATTCTTTTTGCACCTCATAAAAAACACTTTTTTATTGTTAACCTTCAAATGGTCTTCGTCTCCTGTTGACACTTCTGGGCTTCGGGTCTATACGACCCCAACAATTGATTAATTGTACAAAAAATATACATTTTTAATCATACAAATAATATATATATATATATATATATTTTTTTTTTGTTTACTTCTCATCTCTTCATTAATGCTGTGTTTTTGGAGATATAAAGTACTTTTGTATCTATATACCACACAAATCCTCAACTACACCATTAGCTTGAATATCTTTTTGGTAACACTTTATTTTGATAGTCCACTTTAGACATTCAACTAACTATAAGTAACTTTGCCGCTACATGTCGACTAACTGATCATTATAGTATTAGTAGATCATTATATCTGATCTACTAATATACATTATATTAGTAGATCAGTATATGAAGAGTTCAGATGCAAAAGCCTCTAAATGCCATTTGAAATTTTCTTCTTTAATGATGATTTTTATCAAACTTATATATTTAAGTTCAGTAATTTCACTTAAATTGCAATGATAATTACCTATTAATTGTTATTTAAGTGAAATTACTGAACTTAAATATAAAAGTTTGATAAAAATCATCATTAAAGAAGAAAATTTCAAATGGCATTTAGAGGCTTTTGCCTCTAAAATTGTAAAAAAAATTTAGATTTATGCCGATTTATTTTTATTTTTTTTGACCCATGAAGAAAATATATTTAGTTTTTTTTTTTTTCACATTTCCCATTCATTTCAATGTGGGGTCATATTGACCCCGACGACCAGAAGTTTTACATACCTTCAGAACAACCAAATCAAGCCCAGTTTTGTGTGTGTATAGATAGATAAATGTATGAAAAGTCACAAAATCTTATTCCACTGAGATGAAGGGAACCATTTTTTTATTAAGTAAAAGTCGATTGGGGTCGTATAGACCCCATGACCCGATTGAGACACTTTTTTTCCACTTTTTGAAAATATTTACTGAAAATAAACGCCTTTCTGATCTGATATGTGATGGGAAAAGTGAGTAGAGCGAGTTCGGCAAAAGGCGGATTCGAATTTGGGTCGATTTGCGTCAAAACTTTCTGTCAGAACTTTAGTATTAATAATCTAGCGCCTTACGCAATTTTGTCAGGCCCAATCAGGTGTCAGTGGGCGGAGTTAGTGCAAATACACACTCCGTTAAAAAAAATGCTTTGTTTCTAACGAGGAGGACGTTTTAAGCTCTGAAACTTGTAGGATGTTTTACCGGTCAATCTGAACGTCAAAAGGTCACGGCATGTCAAGACCCCTTTAAGACGCTTTACATACCGTGACATTATTTTCAGCACACAGGTCTGAAACATCAAGGTGAGTAAATGATGACAGAATATACGTTTTTTATTCTAATTATCCCTTTAAGAGAAGCTGGGTGCAGCGAGGAAACGGTGCTCAAGAACAAGTGCTTTTATTCAGGCCGATCGGTCTGCAGGTAATTGGTGACAGCTGGAGGTGTCCACTAAAGGTCATTGTTGCAGTCTCTCACGGAGGCCTGTCACGATACTGTCCGGGCACATAATAGGCCTATGCTAATTAGGTTAATTAACAGGAATTGTCAAAACCTTGTTTGTTTTCAGTCACAAAAGCCGCCTCCCATGAGGGCTTACAGAAAAGGACAATGTTTTATCACTTTCACCGAAGCCAAACACCCCGATCGGTATCAGTCTGATAGCTCCTCGCTTTCTCTAACTTATCCGTTTCGCGGCCCGAGTGGCGTGAACAGAAGCAGACATCAAACGCTCGGATAAAACTCGCAGGGCATTCTTATACATTGCCGTATTCTTTGCACGGCCACTCTTTCAAGTTCAGTTTTGTTTATATCACTTCTATATTTTGCCTAATGGGGCTGCGGAGGAAGATTTGCTGGTATATACGCTGCTAGGATAACTTTGAAAACTGTTTGCATTGCATTAAAAACCTGACTGTAAGATAGCATTTCTCTTGTTAACTGGCAGTTGAGACGCAGAAGCCATTTCCTTTCATGGGATTACTTACTTATCTTAATTTTCCACAGGTAATAATCAGCATGAAGCTGTCCGACGGCCATCCCTGAGTCTAGTAATGCCACTAGTGAAAAACTATATAAATGCAAATGCTATTTTATTGTGTTTACACTCAAACAGCGACGTCTCTTATTAATGCACAGCCTCGGATTCACTAAGAGGTCATTAGATCTTGGTTTATGCGTCCTGCGGCGGCTCTTGGGAACGCAAAAAGGAAAACACACTTGAGAAGTTTCAAACATATACAATTATATTACTGGAAACTATTTACCACCATCAGCTGAGGAAAAAAGCAGTCAACCTTGATGCATTAACAAAAGTGCGCACGATTAGATTTTAACATGAACATTTACCTTTAGTAAGTCCCTCTGCTGTATAATGAAATTGATTTTTTTTTTTCTGTGAAAAGAATTTCTTCATTCCATAAAATGGCTTGAATGTAACTCTACTACACCCTTGGTTCATTTAGAATACGTGGATATATGAATATGCAAATTAGTCTCCGCCTCCACTCACTCTCGGAAGCTCGGATTACCTGATCCACTCAGACATATGTGTTTGAACCAGAAACTGATTCAGAAGAAGGAGAGAAAGAGTGAATTATACAGGCAGCAAAGTTGATACTGTAATAATATAATATTGACGAAAGGACACTCCTGTGCATATTTGTGTTTGAGCTCTGCAGAAAATCAATGTTTCTATTTTACCACATGTTTTTGCAGCGGTGAGCAATGTAGCCAATCACAGTTGATCTTTTGAATGCAGTGACCAATCAGACGTGTTTAATTTAGATAGAATCCACTCACGTTCTGCATCTCATTACCTAAGTGTAGGCATGATGTAAATAAGAGATTCTTTGTGTAGTGTAGATTATTGATTATAATAACTTTGTGAGAACGTGCAGTGATTGTTATAGAGTGCCGAAGTTACGACATCACTCTGTAGGCCAAAACGCGGAAGTGAGTTAGCATTTTAGCATTACGGTTCCCTCGCTCTAAAGCCTATGGGATTTTTGTATGGGTTTTTGCTAAATCGCCTGAAATAAGGTCTGTGGTGAACAGAGCCTCTAGATATTTTCACGTTTTGATCTCTGACATGGAACACACAGTTATAACCTGCTTGTGGTTTTTTAAAACTTTATTGTGTCTGATTGTTTTTTTTAAATATTTATATAGGCTTCAAAATGTATAAATTTTGGATTAACTTGTAAAGATGATCTTGCTAGACAAAACGTGTAAGGATCACAACCCTTTGTTAAACACAGATCTTATTTTTTGTGATTTTCCAAAAGTCTATGGGGAAAATGCATTGCTTTTTGACCGAGGGAACCCATACGCCGCTAGCTTCCGAGTTGTCCTACAAAGTGACGTCATCACTTCGGCACTCTATAGCTGTATTTGCAAGCTTTCTAGGCTATAATCCATTCAGAATTTGAATAAAAGTCGACACTTTGGCTTGACTATATCAAACAGCCAATAATGTGTTGCTAATGTTAGATAAACCACATTTCCGTTCGCCGTCTCAGAGTCAAACAGCTGCCTTCTGAAAATCAGCATCCTTAGAAAAAATGATAGCAAAAGCCCCGCCTCACAACCAAACTGGATTGGTTACATATTTATGACGGAAGGGAACAGGGGAGGTTTCAAAGCCTGTTTTTGACTGCAGTTTTAAGGAGAAAATACTCAGCAATGGTGTTGACCTATGAATCTGTACATGGCTCGTCTTAAAGCATATTCAAAACACCACATATACATATAAACACGCATTTTGAAAAGAAAAAAACCCACAATTTTCACCACAGGGGGTCTTTAACATCTATGGAAACTTTTCAATGCATAAAAGGTTTTTATAGTGGATTTTTTTTTTAACTGTTCTGAAAGGTTTGAACCAACAGTCAGTGTTGTAGTCGAGACCACCTCACTCGAG